GAGTTGGGCTTACTGGTTCAAGATAAACAGCCTTCCTTTGAAGGGGCAAGCTGAAGAATTCATGTGCAGTGTCTTTAAGGGATTGAAGTAGATCAAGAGGGACTCCATGGTTAACAACTTGGAATAAACCCAGAGTTTCTGCAGCTCTAACGATTTGCTTGGCCACTTCATCGTGGCCATGACCGTCAAGTTTGATGGCGTTTTCCTTGTCTATTCGTTCTTTTGGTGGCTGCACTTAGGACACTGGGACCTTGGAAAGGCCTGAATCAACCAGTCCTTTTATACCGTTTCCTTCTTTGACAACAAATTCAAAAATAGAGTTGGCATCGTCGAGATTTGGAGCCATTATATTTATGATCAGTGTGAAATAGTAAGGTTTTGGTTGTGAAAACCAGAAAGGGGAATGACATTGAAACTGGAGGAACAATAATTATAAAATCCATTCTCTCTTGTTGATGGTATATTTTGTTTTATTTTATTTTCCCACTCAACTTGATATTCTTTTATACAATCTGATATATAGACGTTAAAGAATGATCTAGGATGGAAGGAGCATAAATGATAATATCCTTGTGGCCCAAAAAATTATCCACTCGACGAGGAAGAAGAAAGAGAAAACCCACTGGATGATTATTAAATTTGATTTAGAGAAAACGTACAACCGAGTCATTTGAGATTTTCTTTCCGACTCTCTTGGGGATTTTGGTTGCCCCCAAACTTCACCAGCTCATCATGCATTCGATCACCTCCTCTAGTATGCAAATCCGTTGGAATGGTTCTCTTTTTACGGAATTCAAGCCTACCAGAGGTATCCGACAGATATGCCCCCTGTATCCGTACTTTTTTGTGATGTGTATGGAAAGGCTTGGACACAGTATTCAATAAGCTTAGAATCTCGACTTTTGGGATCCTATGATTCTATCTCATGGTGGTCCGTCGCTATCTCATCTGTTTTTTGCGGATGACTTGCTTCTCTTCTGTAAAGTGACTCCCGACCAAGCTAATATCACCAAAGCTATCCTCGACCAGTTTAGCTCGTCTCCAGCTGACAAAGTCAATTCTAGGAAAACCAAAGTCTTCTTCTCCAATAATGTTATTGATTCTCTCGCCATAGATCTCTGCTCCACCTTAGGCTTCCAGCGATCGTACAATTTGGGAACTTACCTGGGGATGCCTCTTTTCCATAGCAGAGTTGCGAAGAGAACATTTCAATTCATTTTAGACAAAGTCCGTACTAAGTTGAGTAATTGGGTGGCGTCGAAATTTTCCCTTGCTGGTCGCATTACCCTCGCTAAGTCAATTTTGTTGGCTATCCCGAACTACTTCATGCAGACCATTGCCATCCCCAAAGGAGTGTGCGACCAAATAGAGACGATAACTCGACATTTTATCTGAGGGGTACGAATACTTTAACTCCAGGAGATCAGATATGATTTTTGGTTTAACATGATTTTGTAGTAGGTATACTAATAATGCAAAACTGCTTTCTTGAAAATTCTGATGATACAAAGACTCTCAAAAGAAAATATTTTTTTAAAAGAAGATGTTGCTCATTCGAGAAGAAATAACTGCAGAAACATTTTAACATTATGACAAAGCTCTTTTATATTCTAGGGCATATCAAAGTCTAAAACAAGCTATATTAGCTTCAATATAGAGCTTTTACAAAATGTAGTCAACAGACATCTTCAGCAACAAAGAAGAGACATTCTGCAGCTGACTGTTGGAGAAATCCAACAAGAAACCTATATTGCCCTAGAAGAGATTTGTGACAGGAAGAAGATTATCAGAGATTACATGATAGGAAACTGAGAAATGAAGAAGGTGTGCAAAGATTCTAGATTAACTAACAAGTGCAAGAAGAGCAAAAATGCCACTCTAAAGCTTGAAGACAGAATAAATACTATAGAAAAGGGACGCCCAGACCACCATCTTTCCCGAAAAGAAGAAGAAGAAAATTGAGATACCTAAGGAAGAAGAGAGCCATAGGCACTAAATCGTCCAAGTGTTATGTGTGTTGGCAGAAGGGACACTTTGCAAAATATTGTCCGGAAAACAAAAGGGCCTCAAAGATGATTCAGCAAATTCCAGATAAAACATGGATAAAATTCAAAGAATATGATGTTGAATCTCTTTTCTCTATTGAAGATGAGCCTACTATTAATTTTGTTTTTTATAAATCTTGTGTGAATACAAGATTATATATATTTAAAGACTCTTAATTGTGTGACAATAAACGTTCATATCTCTATATATGCGATGTTCCAACATAGGACCTTAATGAATGATAACAATCTTTTAACCATTAAAATTACTTGATTCATGTATAACTCACAAAAAATTACAAATTAGTGTTGTATGTTTATGACTTACTTTTGAGTAATGAATAATGATACAAAAATAATAACTATTATTATTAGGGTAAACCACACATTTAGTACATAAACTATCAATTTTAGTATCTAAATTTTTATTTTTTTTAAAAATTATACATAACGTTTAGTTTTTGCTTCATTTTAGTACCATATTAAAATTTAACGTTAAGTTTTGAAAAAAATAAAAGTTTAGGTACTAAAACGACCCAAAATTAATAGTTTAGGTATTAAACACATTAAATTTTTAATAACGAGTATAAAATGAAATAAAAATTAAACATTAAACATGATTTAAAAAAATAAAAATTTAAGTATTAAAATAAACTAAAAACTATAATTTATGTATTAAATGCGTAGTAACGCATGATTTACCCTTATTATTATTCTTGGACCATCTATTACTTCATTCGTCTTACTAAACGTGTCTTTTATTTTTTAAATTTGTTTCATTCTAAATATTTTATTAGAATAATCAACGGATAAAAGTATGACCCTTAAACCTTTCGTCAGTAGTATATAAGTAGATTGAAAGATACAGTACGGTCCGCTCTTATGCAGTCGCATTCGTCATCAATACCTGTAGCCTTTTAATACCTCAATTATTCGTCACGTAATCCTATTTCGATAATATTTTATAAAAAAAATCCTATCTCGAGAAGAAACTTCAAGAGATCACACAAATTCCAAGATATTATCAATTTAGTAATCGTTATCAATTTGATTGAAATGAAATATATCCCCAAATACATATTCAAATTGCTTATGGGGGCTTACTTAGTTACTTTAGTATGGAATATAATGTATGACATGATATATGTTATTAATATATTTAGAACATAAGTTATCAGAGCCAAAAAGGACAAAACAAGAGAACTTATATAGCAAAAATCCCTGGAACCGAACTTACCCATTTCCATTTACTTCGTCTGAAATATAAAAATCAGACTTTTTCTTTGTCAAGAAGGAACTTGACTACGCATTCCTTTTGCATGCAACTTGTACTCTCGTTCCACGGTGATTATCGAATGAGTCGATCGCGAGTAGATCGATCGCGAGTTGAGTACTACTCGTGTACTTGTTAAAATATTTTTTTGTTTAATTTGATTCGTTGTTCGTTAAGTTTTTTAAAATTTTATTCGACTTCTTAAAAATAAATTGTTGTTCATTAAGCTCGATGCTCGCCTCGTTACTCGCTAAGTTCATCGAATTTTTTACTTTATTTTCTTAACTATATGTAAAATCTATTAATACTATAGAAAGTTTAATATAACTATAAATTAATAAATTTAACCAAAAAATTATAAAAAGAGTATGAAACAATTTTAAAATCTAAACTCCAAAATAACAATTCACAAATATAGTAAAATAATAAATAAAGTTTGCTTTTGAGTATAGTAAAATATTAATTAATAATTTAGTACTTTCTGTGTTTTATTAAAAATTAATAGATTAATAATTTATCATCATTTTTATTATCTATTAGTAAATCAATATTTTATAGTGAAATAATTTCTTAAGATAAATATTAAAAATTATATAAAAAGTTAACGAGTTGCTTGCAAACTTATCGAGTCCAGTAATATTTTATTCAACTCAATTCGTTAATATCCTAAATCGAGCTCTTACCAAATTTTAATTGAATCAAGTTTAAATTACTCAACTCATTAAACACCCCTAACGGAATGGACCGCGATGAATACTAAAAGGTGCGGTCTCACATCTAAAACTTTTCAAATTCTTTTATATTTTAATTTTTATTAATTATCTAATTTTATACATTCTAAAACTTTAAAATTCTATATTCCCTAAAATTTTTAATATAACTTTTAAATTCACTCCCCATCCCAACATAATTTTTTGGTGTGCCTTAACTCACGTGTTGTACCCGTGATTTATCCCTTTGTGGGGCTGAAGCTGGAATCCCTGGAATCGAAACTAGTCAATTCAATTTGCTTTCTTCATCTGCAATATAAAATCAGACTTTTTCCTGGCCAGGAATAGAAATGACCCCTTTCTTCATCTGCAAGATTAAAGCAGACTAACCCCTGGGCCAGGAATTGAAATTACTCAATTCCGTATATATTTAGTTGGTGAATTAGATTTAGTTAAGCATGAAGATGTGAAGTTTTAAGTAATTATTTTGCACCAGTGATCGACCTAATGTTTCGTTTTGATATTAAAACTATACGTCTTCCTCGAGAAGAACTCCTAATTACGTCATTTTTATTCTTGGTTCATTTCATATCACATATACTTTTTGGTAACGGAGCAAGCGTTCAATGCAAGAAACTAAAATCCAAGGACATGTTAAGGTTGAAGCTAATGTCTGTAGCCGTTCTTGCCATCTCCTTCAAATCACTCGTTTGGATTGCCTTCTATCGGTTCCTGATAGTGAACCCTTTTGCCTTCAATCAGATAGCCAGTGTGCAATATTCTGTGATTAATATTAAAAAATATACCTTCAAAACATTTGTTTAACATAACTAAAAAGAAAAGGTAAAGAACGTTATAACTACTACTGGTTACTTTCAATGTAAAAACTCCAGAAATTTCAAATGACAGTACCATCCACACAGCTAAGTGGGAAAAAACAAAAGGTGAACACAAAGCCAACCAGGCAGGCAATGGCTTAACTAAATGCCCGTTTATTTAAAACTATAACAAGCAAAAGGCCCGAATGTCAAATCCCAGGAATGAAATTACTCGATTCCAAAGATTTTCTTCATATGCAGGATAAATTCATAGATTTTTTCTCTGTCAGGAAGGGACTTGGCCACACTCTCCTTTTGCATGCACCTCATAGCCCATGCTATGAGCTTGGGGCACTCTGCTTCAATGCTGAAGTTTCCACACTTCTCGTACGCATAAAACCAGCTATAAAATGGAACCAAAGCAACATCCACAAATCCAAGATTTTCTCCTCCAAAATAAGCCTTGTCCCCAAGCTCCCCTTCCAACAACTTCAGGCTCTCAATAAATTCTTTCTTTGCCGTTTCTTGTTCTTCTCCCTTTGTCTTCCATACCTTGCTCCCCTGGTCATATATCTGCATTTCATAATTTACAACTCAGCCCATTGATCAAACATACTAGAGAGTCTACATATACAATTCTCAGATCAAATAAAAAGAAGAAAAGGACGTACCTTCTTGTCAATAAAATCAGCCCAGAATCTAGCAATAGCCCTTTTGTAAGGATCAGAAGGCAGCAGAGGAGCTCTATCATTCCAGACCTCGTCGATGTACTGAACCTGAATGAGTGATTCGCAAACTGGTTTACCATTATGGATGAGAACGGGGATTTTCTTGTGAACAGGGTTCATCTGCAGGAGCAGCTCACTCTTGTTCCTCAGGTCTTCTTCCTTGTACTCGTATTTTATCCCTTTCTCAGCCAAAGCAATCCTCGTTCTCATCCCAAACATGCTAGGCCAGAAATCCAACAACACTACAGCCCCTTCCATTCTTGCGATCTAAAGACTCAGAAACTCAAGCTAACAAAAGATTTTATTTCCTTTTTAGTTTCTCGCTGGTTGTGCAGAAGAAGGGCCGTCGGCCATATATTTATAGGCGAAAAAAACAATTAGGGTTGGTACGTCTAGGTGTTTCTACTGGTAACCGGTTCAAAGAAATAAAAAATAATTAAATTTTATATGGAAATCTCTAAATCGCTTTATTCTAGGGTTATCTATTTATTTAGTTTGTTAGACTTCTAGAGATTAGTGAGGCCATTTGTACTTTTTTTTCGTCCCAATTTTAAAATTTCATCTTAATTAATTTGAATTGATTCAAGTCGTACATTTAATTTTAATTGACAAATTTTTTAATAGAGATTTTTTACATGTAGAAAAGCTCGAATTTAAGATATTACTTAAGTGATATTAAAATATTTACCATTTGTAAAATAAAAAATACAAGTAGAATGTAATAGAAAATTATATATTATATTTGTACATCGCAATATTATTATATTTTGTAATGTACATTTCATGCTTTAATGTTACGTGCTTATGACTTATTTTTTCAATAAAAATTAATATTATTATAATAACACTTAATATTATTATTATTTTAGGACCTTCTTTAATGCGATTAGCATACGCCATTTCTTACGTCAGCAGTCTCTTTGGTAGGCTGAATGATGAAGAATGGGTTGACGTTTTTACTCGAAAAACATCCAAAGAATTAATAATTACTTGTCATGCATATGTAGATCAAATTTTATTGATCCAATAATTATTTGTTGACATGGATGGAAGGTACGAATCACCAAACGTATATTTCCTAGATTTTTGTTTGAGGTGACGCCACGCGGTCAAAACGTGGATTATCATCTGAGCATTCACGGGAAAATTTGACAAGTGACGGAAGGCGTGAATCACCATTCGTGCCTTCCATAAATACCCTCAATCGTCCGTCGCTCTCCCTTAATTACCACCTACTCCTCTCCTATAAATACCACCTCATACAACTCTCAAACCACAAAAAAAACTCTCATTCTTACTTTTATCATTAGTTCTAACAAGTTTAAAGTGTGTTCTGTTATTATTTTTAGTAGGTAAAATTATTTTTATTATGTTGTAATCATTAAATAGTGTAGCATTTTTATTATATTTGAATGTGTTATTTTTTATGTTTTGCAGTTATAAAATGAAATGCGGGTTGTTGCGTTTAGATATGAATTATATCTCGAGTCATTTTGTGGATGCGGTAACAATTTTAAATTGTGTTACGTTAATTATTTTGAATGTTTTATTTTTTTAATATTAGTTTATATTTTAATTTGTATACTATTTATTTAATTAGGGGAATGAACGTATATTAAATCCATTTATTCGTAACGCTAAGTTAGAGATACCAAATTGTGTCTGGCCGTATTTGGCCGAGGCTAAATTCAATTACATTGCTAGATATGAAGGGCATTGTAACCTTGAATCCAACCTTATTTCTGCACTGGTTGAGAGACAGAGACTATAGACACACACATTCCATCTATCGTTTGGGGAGTGCATTATTATGTTAGAGGATGTTTCCTTACATTTGAGGCTTCTGGTAGATGAGGATGTCATTTCTGGTGTGGCGAATGATGATTGGCATTCTTTGTGCGAAGAATATCTTGGAGGTATCTCGCCAAATTTTAACGGTGGTAGAATACCGTTATAATGCTTGGCTAAAAAAATTTCGATAGTTGAGCGACGACTGTTATGAGGAACAGGCTAAAATATTTGTCTGGGCTTGTATATTACGACTCATAGGAGGGATTTTGATGTCCAATAAATCTAGCAATCAAGTTCATTGTATGTGGTTACGTAACATCACATATTTTCGAGTTGTCGGCTCATTTAGTTGGGGCTATGCGATTTTGGCATCTCTGTATAGAGAAATGTGCCGAGCAACTGATTATCAGAAAAATGTTATCGACAAATGTCTCCTTCTTCTGCAGTCATGGGCGTGGTATTGCATGCCCTTTTTATGTTCGGTCGTGAAAAAACTCGTTAGTCTTCCCGTTATTGTTGAGGTAATTTCAATACTGAGTTTGTATATAAATAATTTTGTGAGTATATAATGAATTTTTTTTACACTGAATAGGTGGTCATGTGTAAGGAAAGTTCATCGTGATATACCAGACGAATTAGAAGAAATTCGGCTACTCATTGATCAAAAGGCTGATACTTAGTATGTATTTAAATTTTATTTCTTACATTTAATTATCATTATATAATTAAAATATTATTTAAATAAAAAATTATATATATTTGTTTTAGTTTCAATGGACTCCTTATGCTACTGAAGAAATGAGGCATTGCATCCCACCTCACTTGAGTGGCCCATTAGATGTATGGATGACAGTGGTCCCTCTGAAATGTTATGTTATTGTCGAGTGGCATCCCACTGATCGCGTGCTTCACCAATTTGGTTTCATAAAATCTATTCTTGAAGCATCTAGGAATCTCGACAATTTGCATAACATCGATAGACGGGGCAAAAAAGAAGTCAATTGGCTGATGAAGCACAGTGAATGAGTAATGACCTGAGAGGATCGACGTGAACATATTCCTCGTAGGGAGTCGATTTATGTAGATCATCATTCGGTTGTGGATGACTATTATCAGTGATTCAACACGAACGAGAAGCCATTACTACGTTTCGAGGAAGTACAAGGCGAAAGCATTTATCGGCGCTGAGAAAAGCCTCCACCGTCACATCATCATCGTCCCTCGACTTGTGGACAGAGAGCAAACGTTTCCAGTTCATCCTCAACTGCAACACATGAACTATCACAAGAGCTATCGTCTACACCAGTTTACATTTCACAGCCATTTCAGATGCCACCATAGTCGGTTTAGATGTCACCGCCACAGGGTTTTATGACACCTCCTTACGGATATTATAGTTCCGTGCCTATAGATCCAACATGGGCTTCATATGTTGCTTATTTGGTAGGTGATGTTTCAAAACAAACTCAGACACCTCCGGCCCAGTTTTCGCAGTCATAGATATTGATGTTTTTACAGTTTTCATAGTTTTCTATGATCGATGTGATGGTTAGTTATATACCTCCAAGGTTATTATTCTATGAAGATGATACATCATAATCCGTTCCTTATAAGCAAAATGTAGTTGGTATTGTTGCTGATGATGACGATGAGAATAAGGAGGAAGAACAAATTATACGAAAAAATCCTCATCAATATAAATAGCCACCGCCCTGTTGAACACATTCAAGACACATACATCAATAGACTTATTTAATGTCTCATATCTAAAATACGAGTAAAAAATATAAAGAGTAAAAAATATAAAGAGTAAAAAATTCACTGACATTGCATCAAAAGAAAGATTTAGCTAAAAAGAAAGAATTGGGAAATAAAAATTCTATCTTGATATCTTACTCAATTAAATACATTATTTGTAGATTCTAGTAGTTATTGAATTGTTGACACATGTCAACATCTTAGCCATTTAACATTACAAATATCTTCTAATAGACAATTTCAAATATAATATTAAATAATACAAATATCTAGATTTTTTTATACTTTTACACATCTACAATATTTATATTATTCTAGAGTATTCTTGATGTATATATATATATATATACATATATATATATATATATATATATATATATATATATATATATATATATATATATATATATATATATACAACATGCACTCACCACCGCATGTAACTTAGCCCCAGCCCCAAACATGGTTGTTGAAATACAACAACATGCACTTACCATCGAAGCCAACACCACCGTAAACAACTCAGCCCTAACCCCAAATGTGATTATTGAAATACAACCTCCACTCACCACGAAGCCAACACCATCGTAGGCAACTAAATCACATCCCTGACGTGGTTGTTAAAATACAACAACTTGAACTCACCACTGAAGCCAACACAATCGTCATCATAATAGATAACACAACACAAGCCACCCCAACCAACTTAGCACTGCTACAACATAATTTTCGCTAGATAATGCGTCTGATAATGTTTTATTTCATTTTGTCTAACTCTAACAGAAAATTATGATATAAAATATTTAAAATCATCTTACATTTTTGTTGTAGTAGTTGTAATCGACCCTTCGAGGAAAGTCGACTAGTTGCAACAATAAAGTTTTTGAAATGATTTTGAAGTGAAATGTTTGGAGTCACCACCAATCATTTTTTAAAGGTGCAACTGGAACACTTAAAATCGGGTAATTTTTTAAAAAAATATTTTATCAAAATACCAAATTTAGTATGCGAAAACCAGAAAACAAGTTTGAGAGTCGATTACTCGTGGGAAAAGGTTAGCACCCCCACAACGTCTAGAAATTGGTCTACGTAAAAGAACATTGCCTTAAGGTTGGAGAAATCATGATATAAGGTTTTAAAGAAGGATGTTGATTTACCCGCTATATCTCAACTCATTCTTCTCTGGTCGAGAATCCTAAAGGCTCAAAGCTCCATCGCTTACCCGTCATACCTCAACTTTGATAAAGTCTCCGGTTACCACCAACGGTGACCGACCAAACTCAAACTAAACCCTAAGCAAAAAAAAAAACAAACACCCTAATCTTATTTCCTCCATTTTCTATACTAAAACCTTTAATAAAAACCATTAAAGTAGTATATCAACTTCCCTCTCTACTTTGACCACAACTGATGGTGGTCGGACTACCATAATAGATTCACTATAACCATTAAACTTCCTATCTCACTATCTTAAACCCCAATATGGATCCTTAAACTGCAAGAAGCCTGAAAAATGACCCCGTGACCCTCGGCTCCCCGCCACCAGAGCTCAAACGAGAAGCTCAAAATAACCCCAAGGTGAATTATTTCCCTCTCTACCTTTTCTATAACTTTCGATTTTATTCACGCATACAAAAACCTTGAAAATTTTTGTAAAAAACAATATACCTTTTAAGAAAATAGATTCTTTGTGTAACACCCCAACCCGTATCCGACTCGAATACGAGT